ATATATATATAATGTTTTATTATTATTTTCTAGCTAAATGAGACAGGCTGTGTCTCTGAGATGTTCCCCATTTCATTCTTCATCAGAAGTTCAGAAGTGTATTTCATGCCACAGTCTCTTCATTTCACTGTATCAGTAACTGAAGAGGGGACAGGTTTGTAAAATGTAAATTCTAACATGTTTGCACGAAAACAAAAGAGCTCAATGCACTGATAAATCAAAAATTGTTCATACTTGATGGGTTGTGCTGAAGATTTCACCATTTTACCTTTTTATGTTTTCCAGACATCTCAGTGGAAAGGACTGAAAATGTGTTTTTGACCTATACTATTGGTAGCATAAAATTTATTGACCTGCCAGAGTTCTTTGAGAAAGGATCAGTCATACAAGCAAAGGTTACAGGGAATTAGTCTTTCTTGTTTCTAAATATATAAACAATCATCATTTTGACTTGGCTTTTTCATTTAATAATCTTTATCTGCATTTTGTTTGACTAATGTATGTCCTTGATGAGGTTCTGTTTTTCCACCAGGTTAAAGTTGAGTTCTCCAAAGGAACCCCATTTCCTTACTTTAAGGTTGTTGTTCAACATGACCTGTCTCAGCCTCAAGAACTTACCACAGACATCAATGGGTTGGCCCATTTCACAATTGATACGTCCCTTGCGATAAGTACATCTATTTATGTATCGGTGAGCTTATCATTTTTATGCATTGGCTATGTTAGTTTTGTGCTGCGTAGCAGATGCTGTCCATTCAAAACAATCTATAATAGATTAATTCAAGCATAGTACTGCTGAAATAAATGTTTCAGTTACGGTTGCAGTGGTGATATTCATTCACCAGTGCAAATCCTTAGGCGTTCAGTTATTTCTGCATTATCTTAATCAGTTGCAGCTGATTTTTCTGACTGTTTTATTGATCTGCTCCTGACAGGCATATGCTTCATTCACCAATCAGTTTGGTAGTCCATTCAACTTTGAATCTGCATACAAAACTCTGCAAATAAAATCCAAAGAAAGCCCAGAAAAAGCGAGTCAACTGGTTATAAAGTCTCTAGAGGAACCACTGAAATGCGAGGAGGAGATCTCAGTAACCGTGCAGTACACTATTGCTGGAGAGACTGTTGAAAGTGGTTCTGTTACCATAGTCTACCTGGTGGGTGCAGGAATTAAGCTGAACACTGCACAGACATTTTTGCATTCAGCTATTTAATTCGCTGTGCTTTTCACTTTTTCAGGTTTCATCCAGAGAAGAGATAGTCTACAATGGCTATAAGAACATTGAGGTGAAAGGCTCTGATGGAGTAGTGGAGGGAGAACTGATGTTTAAAGTCCCTGTTCGTGCCCGGATGGCTCCAAAGATGGAGTTTCTCGTATACTGTGTGCCGCCCAGTGAAATTGTACTAGCTGCTTCCAGAACATTTCAAATTGAGAAATGTTTTGTAAACAAGGTATGCTGGCTGAGTCCATTAAAATATGGAGATTGCATGTATGTAAAAGATGTAAGAATGTACAGTCTCTGAGTTTATTTTGCAGTAATGACCAGCTGACTTATTACATGCTACTCCCCAAATAAATGTGTATGTGAATAGGAAATGTTGAAATACTTATACCATTTTATCAATAAATTACTATTTTAATTATAAAATTCTTGCTAAGCTTAGTTGATTGTTTTTTAGCATTGTAATGGACGATTTCGAGGGAGACTTTGGTTTCAGTTATGTGGATGAGTGGATTGATAAACAGCATTGCCTTGGATGACAGCAAACATTAGGAAATATTAGATCTGAGAATCCTCTAAATGCCATATCAGAAGTATTCCTGATAACCGTGTAATAATTAGTCAGAGTATTTAGTAATGATTGGTTGAAATACTTTGATTTTGTTTTAAAATTAAAGACTGGACCACTGTGTGTCACAGGTGTCACTGCAGTTTTCTCCGACTACAGCTGTTCCTGGTGAAGAAAACACTCTCCAGATCTCAGCTCAGCCTGGTTCACTGTGTGGCCTCAGTGCTGTAGATCAGAGCGTCCTGATCATGGAGTCCGGGAAACGTCTAGATGCTGACAAAGTAATATATATTTCAGACCTGTCTTCAGTTTTGACACTTTTCACAATGAAATTCCAAAATCACTATTTGCTCCATCCTTCTGCAGGTTTTTAAGCTGTTGCCAGCCAGGCTTTTTCCATATGACATTGAAGATCAAGAGGATTGCTTTAATATTAGATCTATAAGAAGTTCTCAGTCTCTTCTTCCTCCACCTCCATATACACCAATGCCATCCTACCCTTACCCCTCAGAGAGTAAGGCAGATGCTGTCTATGCGAGTTTCAGGGTAAATATTTAAAATCTTGTTTCATTTAAAAGGTTTATTTTGATTAATGTTTTGAGACAAAAAATATACAGTTAGCATCGGAAATACTTTTAGTAACACATATTGTCTCTTGCCTTTTTACATTGTCATCTGGATAAGAACATGGGATTGAAGGTGGTGACAAATTTGATTATTAAAATGCCATCCTGTATTAAATTTAGAGATGCATTTTATCAGAGAATGTATGGTGGTAAGACATCTGTTTATTTTCTCTCTATATGTATGTACCATGGATGTGTTCTAAAAAATAAACTATAAAGTAAATGTCCTGTAAAATTCCAGGTTCTATGGGTTTTGTTCACCCACCATCTTATGGAGGCATGGCAGGAGCTATCCCAGGAAATGCTGGAGTTGGAGCAGGTCCAGTGGGTTTGCCAGGTGCAGTGGGTCCAGGGGCTGGAATGAGTCCAATGGGTCTAGGAATTCCAGTTGGAGCAGCTGGAGTTGCAGGTCAGGAATATGATTTTGCCACAGTTATAGTCTACATATTTCAGTTTTCTCCTACCTGAGTATTAGGACCCATGTAAATCTCGAAATGGCCTTAAACAATTACTAAAACTGCAACATGGTGCATTTTTAAATGTATGCAATTTTCATATATTGATTGCTTTTGACAGCACATCTAGCAGCTGTGTATGGGACAACCTTAGCATCTCAGGTTCAAAATTAACACTTGCCAAACACCAAATGCTACAAAAAAAAAAAACGGGCAGGTTGCGATAGCCAAGACTATTTTGACTCAATCCAATACACGCTGATAGTCAGCTGCTTTCAAACAGTCCTGTGCTTGTGTCCACGGCCTGTCTGAAGACTGTTAAAGGCTTAATTACAGCATGATTTGCAGCACTGAGCATTGTTGCAAATGGCGCTGCCAAGGCAGTGCTCTTGGCTCGCTTTCTGTATATTTAATCTATTCATATTAAACATATTGGGCATATTTAAACATAACATATTGGGCTGCATGTCTGTTAATTTTTCTCAAATGCGGGTGCGGGTTTATCAAACAAGACCAATGCAGGACTCTGTTCTGAAGTGTTGCGTGGGACTGTTTCCATTTACAGTTGTTTTTTTTGCTCACAGCAGTTTGTTTTCAGTGGCTCAGAGTGGCTCAGTTAACAGTAAATGCTGCTCCAAACAAACTCCATCGCTGCAAGTGCTGTGAGTTTGGGTCGTTTATAACATGCATTTGGGAACAAATGTGCCAGTTATCGTCCCAATTTTTTGAATTGTTAATGAAAATAATTTAGAATCTCTTGTCCCTCTTGAGGTTCACCATGCGGTAATACTATTATTATTATTATTATTATTAAATACTAATTTTTTTATTTTGCAGTACAATATAGGGTGGTTCAGGTTTTCATTGTTTATTCCTTTTGTTTTTTGCTGGTCAATACTACAGGAGGTATAGGAACTGGTATTGCTCTCACACCTCTACCCGAGGAAACCATTCGCACATTCTTCCCAGAAACTTGGATCTGGGAACTTGTTGAGGTTGGGTGAGTGAATAATAGGTTAAAAAGTCTGAAGGTGCCACTCCCTTAAAATATATTTGGTACTCGTTTGGTAAATGTTATGTTAATAAATACAAATGCTCTTCAGGGACTCTGGATCAGCTCAGGTTCCTGTCACGGTTCCTGACACTATCACCTCTTGGGACACGGAGGCCTTCTGTCTGTCCTCCAAAGGTCTGGGTCTGGCTCCTCCTGCTCAGCTGACAGTTTTCCAGCCCTTCTTCCTGGAGCTCTCTCTGCCTTACTCCATCATCCGTGGGGAGATCTTTGAGCTGAAGGCCACTGTCTTCAACTATCTGTCCAAGTGCATCATGGTGAGACTTCAGACCCAGTCTTATCCAATCATATCAAATATGGCACTAATCATGTGTGTTTGACTGACAGGTTAAAGTGACTCCAGCTCCTTCCTCAGACTACACTCTCAAAGCCTCCTCTGATGATCAGTATTCATCCTGTCTGTGTGCTAATGGAAGAAAAACCTTTAAATGGATCCTTACTCCTTCTGTTCTCGGTGAGTTTTCCAGTCTAAATCTTTTTTTTCAGTCTCTGTTGTCAATCTTCACGTACATGTCTTGTGTTGTAGGAGTCTTGAATATTACAGTCAGTGCAGAGGCAGAGGCGTCCCAGACTGTGTGTGACAATGAGATTGTGAGCGTGCCAGAGAGAGGACGCATTGACACGGTCACACAAAGCTTGCGTGTAAATGTGGGTAAAAACATATTATGCAAATACAATCAATCAATCAACATGTTTTTATATAGCACATTTAAAACAAAAAAGTTGACCAAAGTGCTTTTCAAAAAATTACTCAAATAGACAACACAATATACATCACTCTTCATTGTTCCAACACGTTGGGGCAATTATAGAGTTGTGTTTTCAGCATAGATTTAAAAATCTATTGAGTCACAGGATCTAATATGCAAAGGAGACTATTCCAGAGATGTGGGGCTGCCACAAAGAAAGCTCAATCTCCATGCTCAATCACATGTAAAAGCAAACTCTGAGATGATCTTAAAGGTCTAGCAACACAATGATGCTGTAACAGGCATGATATGTACTTCGGAGCAAGAGCATGCAAACCTTTAAAAACCATGATCAAAACTTTGTATTGGACTCTAAAATCAACAGGAAGCCAGTGCAAAGAAGCCAGCTTCGGAGAAACACTGGAGCTTGTGCCTGTCAATAGTCTAGCTGCACCATTTGCCCTAGCTGCAACCGTGAGAGCAGGCACTTAGACAACCCTAAATATAACGAGTTCCAATAACCCAATCTAGATTAAATAAAAGCATGAATCACAGTTTCCATATCATTAAAAGACAAAATTCTCTTCAATTTGGCAATGATCTGCAATTGATAGAAGCCACTTTTAACCATGGCATGCAATGCATTATTGCAAGTTATATTATCTAAAACTCTACCTTTACATTGCAGTCAAAGAACTAAAAAGGTTAAACTGTGCTAACATTAACCTGTGTTCCTCAGGCTGAAGGAATCGAAAAGACTAACAGCCACAGCTGGCTGCTTTGCCCCAAAGGTAATGGCTGTGCACTCATATATGCCATAAAAATGTTGTATGATAAAGAATTAATTGCTTTTGATTTGACTTATGAATTGCTTTTGTGCCTCCATTTACAGGGCAAAACCTCTTGGAGGAAGTAGAGCTGGCATTTCCCAAAAATATGATAGAGGGATCAGGAAGAGCTGCTGTTTCAGTGCTTGGTGAAGAAAAAAAGTCATACCTTTACATCAGTACCGTCTTGTGAATATTTCTGATGTAGAAATGTACAATCATGTCCTCTTGCAGGAGACATATTGGGTCGTGCACTAAGGAATCTTCACGGATTATTACAGATGCCGTATGGCTGTGGAGAACAAAATATTGCTGTTCTTTCTCCCAATATTTACATTCTGCAGTATCTGGAAAACACAGAGCAGCTCACCTCAGCCATCCGAGAGAGAGCCACCGGCTTCCTTAAGAGCGGTGAGATGCCATTCAGACGGATTTCATACTATTTCTAATGTTTTTCAGTACATTTAAGGAAAATAATCTGAACCAAAATATTGAACAGGGTATCAAAGGCAACTCAACTATGAGAATTCAGATGGATCATATACTACATTTGGAAAGGGAGAAGGAAATACATGGTATGAACTCCTGTTTTTACCTCATAAATAAACCATTACACAAAACCCAAATGTCCAGCAAAGAATATTGTTTTAAATCAAAAGATGGTAATATCTTAAAAGCCACATCACAAATCTCCAGATGAGTCTGAATAAATGTATTAAATTGAATTCAATTAACAGGCTGACCGCATTTGTGCTGAGGACTTTTGGGAAAGCACAGTGTTACATCTTTATTGACCCCCAAAAAATTCAGAATTCAAAGCAATGGCTGATACGCCACCAAAGACCAGATGGTTTATATGAGAGCAGGGGAAAACTCTTCAATAACAGAATGAAGGTAAAAACTATTACAAGGCATTACAAATATTTATATAAATCAGTGAACTTAGTCATTTTCCACTATAAATATCTACATTAATTACATAACATTTCTAAAACAAGATATATTTATTTTAGGTACAAAATTGTTAACATTTGTAAGTTGTTGTTCCATTTGTAAATTGTTGGTATAATGAAGCAAAATGTGTATATGCTTGCTTAAAATGATGAAAGGAAAAAAATAAAAATAATATAGAATAATTAAATATATTATCTGAAAATAAGTCTTAATGATTTCAGCAATTTTGGTTTTCATTTTCATTTGCCTTGTTATAAGAAGTCAAAATTGCTTATTTAAAAATGAACACTTTCATAATAGATGCCTTTATTTGCTATCTGTGTATTTTAGGGGGGTGTAAGTGATGGTGTGACCATCACTGCCTATATAACTGCATCCCTACTCGAGCTGAACACATCAGTTATGGTCAGTACGGTCTATGTTGTCAAGCACAAACTGTACTATTTTATAAGGCTCTTATATATTTGTCACCTGCACTGTTTCTGTTGTAGGATCCTGCTGTGAGCAAAGGTCTGTCATACTTAAAGCGTTTTGTTGGTGATATCCGAAACACTTACACCACTGCTCTGCTCGCCTACACTTTCAGTCTGGCTAGAGACACGCACACTCGACAGCAGCTTTTCAAGAAACTGGAGGATGCTGCTATTTCAGACGGTAAGAGATTTGTTTCTGGCTACTTTCTGTTGTCTTTTATGACTGTAATGTTTTTTTGATTGTTTGTTTGGTTTTTTTTTGCTTGTTGAGTTACTGTCTATTTTGTCCATGTGTCCTAAAGGGTCTCATCTCCACTGGTCTCAGTCTGCATCTGCTGATGACTCTGATTCTCTGGCAGTGGAGATCAGCTCATATGTGCTGCTAGCTGCTCTCACTGCAGATTCACTCACTTCAGCTGATCTGGGCTTTGCTAACAGGATTGTCAGCTGGCTTGTGAAGCAGCAGAATGCCTATGGAGGATTCTCCTCCACACAGGTGACTCAAACTACTCAAATCAAACACATGATTGCTGAATAATGGGTAAAAGTCACATTACTGAACACATTTGTTTCTCAGGACACAGTGGTGGCTCTTCAGGCTCTGTCTTTGTACGCCACCAAAGTGTTCAGCTCTGATGGCTCCAGCACAGTGACTGTACAGTCAGCAGCAGACACTCACCACTTTGATGTCAATCAGGACAAGAAGTTACTGTACCAGGAGAAGCAGCTGCAGAACGTTCCAGCCAAATACAGCATTGAAGCGAAGGGCTCAGCCTGTGTGTCTGTGCAGGTCTGTGAAGTGCAGCAAAACAAATTAAAACCACATTATGATGATAGCTTAAAGAGATGTCCTAATGTTCTAATCCTAATGTCCTAATGTGACTCTCTTCTAGATGTCTCTTTTCTACAATATCCCCACTCCCAAGGATTCTAAGGCATTACAAATCTTTGCTAAGACTGGGGCACTGTGTCAGAGCGGGACAGGACAAATTCTGGATGTCGTATTAGATATTATGTAAGAGCAGATTCTGATTTACACCTTCAGTGTTAAGATTTAATTATTTACTTGATTATTGCAAATATTCTATATTTTTATATGTTTTGTTATCCGTTCAGATATACAGGGACACAAGACAGTTCTAACATGGTCATTGTAGATATGAAACTCTTATCTGGTTTCAAACTAGTGCCCTCTTCCCTGGATGCGGTAAGGCCGTTTAATTCAGCATCCATGACAGTAAATGCTGCACATTTCCCCAAATCTTTTCTAATATTTTAGTTTGCACTAACAATGTTTTTCCACAGTTAAAGAAATCAGTACATCGTGTTGAATCCAAAGATGACCACGTGATCATGTATCTTCAAGAGGTGGGAATAACATGTATGGTTTATAATGACAACCAGTGTGATTAAAATAATTAACTATAAAATCTGTTTTGAAACCTTATATAATATAGCAAAAATGCTGTACAATATCATATCACTGATTAATCTAATGTAATTTGAGTTTTATATGTTTTACAGGTTCAAAAGTACATGCTCTTCCGCCAAACACTACGTACTAAACAAATCTTCTCAGTTAAAAACCTCAAGCCAGCGGTTGTAAAAGTCTATGATTACTACCAGACCAGTAAGTCTAAATTACTCAGCACTTAATTATTTCTAGACGTTTAAGTCTTGGCATCATTGCAGCTTTTTTCAATTTTGCTTGCAGGTGAGCGGTCTGAAGCAGAATACTTTAATCACTGTGCCTGAGGAAGGATACCACAGAAGAGACAACAGATGTCTTCACACCAATTAAATATGTTACTCTGCGCTATTATATTGGATTAGCATAAATAATTATGAATATTTTTTTCTGTCATGACAGCTCTCGGAGGGATTGGCATGGTAATGTACATGACAATGTTAATGTGTTTGGTCTTGATGGAATAGATCTGCTATGCTGCTGCTTTAGCAGAGCAAGTACCGAGACTTGCTTTTGCCAATTACATCCACAACATGCTGCTGTGAGCATGTAAGAAATACTGCTGCTGCACATATAACATATGAAATAACCCCGATATAGCAAACATGAATCACCTCGTAGCAGATCTATACAGGTGGAGCTGGGGAAGGTAGGGGGTTCTGAAGCTTGCTGCAACTGCTACAGCAAGCACTAGCCAAGTATTTGAATGTTGAGCAGCGAGCTTATTGGCTGCTAATACAAAAAGGACCAATCAGCTGCGCCATGTGATGATGTCATTATGTCAGATTGAGTGACCTATCGGACTGTGCCATCTAGAGTTTCATATATATATATATATATATATATACACACACACACATTGCCGTACATGTATGTAAGCTCATTTTGCTCATCTATGGGCTTTATAAATTTAGAAAAATATTATGCTTGTTAGTTGTTAATATGCAATAACACTGTCTCTTCGCAGCAAATATAAATGCTTTGATTATTGTATATCAATCTCTGAGACTTTATGAAAAGAGCAAGTAAAATTTATCATTCTGAAAAGTCTTGTAAAAGTGGCCCATCTGTGTTCTTTTAGATGATTTCCACATCTTTCAAAAAAAAAAAGTAAATTAACGTCCTTGTCCTCATATTAATTAATATGCTCATATACAAAGCCTCATATATACTAATGCTAGTAATAAGGTCATGCTAGAGCAAACTTTAAGTTTTGAGACACATGTCCATAAAAATAAAAAAAAAGTTATGTCCATATACGTGTTATTTAAGGATTGTTTATTTACTATTATATTATTTCTTTATTTTGAATGAACTTTATGTTCCATTTTCAATTTAATTGAGGTAGTATTAAATTTAATTATGTACTTTTTACATTTTATTAATTTTTAATTCTATTTAGCTTTTATTTTGTTAGTTTCTTTTCTGATTTTATTAGTTTCTTTTACTTTTCTGATTTTCGTGGGGTTTTTATTATTTAAAAAAATTAAAAGATTTTTTATTTTATTTCAATTTAGTTTTAGACTAGTTAACATTGAAGCTGCAGTCCGTAAGTTTTGCCTCTTTGTCGCCATCTCTGTTATTTAAAAAAATTAAAAGATTTTTTATTTTATTTCAATTTAGTTTTAGACTAGTTAACATTGAAGCTGCAGTCCGTAACTTTTGCCTCTTTGTCGCCATCTCTGTTTGAAAACCTGCAATTGCAGCTGTCTGCGGAATTATCTTCCTTGTGTGGGTTGTGCTCCAGCATTGTCTCAGCCTCAGATGTCACGCCCACGGACCGTTGGCTGAATGTCTGATGCATATGGCACACAAAAGTGGAAAAAACTTCAGGAGTTTCGAAGTCAGCATCGGATTGGTTGAATTATACAGGATTTCCGGGGGACGTGTGTGTGGCGTTCTTTAACGTTCCGCCTGGAACCAAGATGCCGTGACGCCAAACCCCCTCACGAAAGAAGAAAGCCGCCGTGTTTACAACTGTGACGACGAGCGCTTATCAGGATCAACTAAATGCTGGATTCTCAAAAGTATGTGAAATATTTAGTTCACGGCATAGAATCTTTCAAATATGTCTGAAAGTTTTACACACCGGTCTGTTATTGTGGTGACATTTCCACGCCCCGAAACGTGATGCTGAAACGAAACGAACTGTGATTGGTTGTTTGACATGTCGGTCAAACGGCCTCATGGGCGGGCCTTGGCCAATGAAAGCTGCCATAGATTCCAGACCTTCAGCCATTAATCAGGAGATTGTAGATAGTGTCAATGGTCCATTTGAGATATAGGTGGCGGTAGTGCACTTATAAGTCTGCGATCCGCCGTAAAGCAACAAGAAGAAGAAGAAGACCTTCAGCCATCAGTCTGAAGGTCTGGCTACGGGAGACTAGCTCCGGCATAGCTCCAGTGTGGATGAATCTAATGTTTTGAAGAGTATGTGTGGCAGTCAGTCAACGCACCGGTGTGGATATTCACTGTACTTCGCAATCACAGATTCTAGCCTACTTCTTGGAATATATGACCCAAATAAGAATTTTCACCGTATATTGTCATCTGAACAAGTAAGTAACAAGTCTGCCACATTTGTTCTGACCAACTGAGGAAAATAGCATTACAATAAAAAGCGCTACCAATGGTGATTTAATCTAAATGAGCTCATATCACATCAAACCGTGCAAATTACTATTATTGTTATACTTTATTCTCAAATTATTAATGTTAATGTAGCGCCCTCACCACCTGGTGAGGGAAGATATTAAAGTCAATAAAGACACAGGACACGGAGCTGCTGCTTCACCTTCTGAGTCTGTGTATTGTTTTTGCATTGATGCAAATATTTCTGCATTTTCATACATCAATAAACATAAAACACAATAACATCTCTTTAGAAAAAGTCACAATATGCAGAAAAATGCGAAACTACTAAAATATAGCTTCTCATCAGATACTGTTTCCACCAATTACACACATAATTTCAGTGAACATTTGGAACGCAATGTACATTATTAATACTTATTAATTTATGGCATCCAATGTCCACATATGATACTCAACCTAACATCTTAACATATGTACCATGTTCCAAATAATTATATCTCTTTATATACTATTTGCACGAACACATTCATTACACTTATTCTTGTGAAACAACTGACTTCTATTTTCAACACTTTCACTTGAAACTTACTTTCACTTGAAACTTATAACTCTGTTATATTAACTGTCAAAACATTATATATCCGTAAATTCACTCCATTTTCACATTTCTGTAATCACGTTATCCGCCATTAATTTAGCATTCACACGTGGAGCGCGTGGTACACATGTGGTTGAACCGAATTTCCATGACAGACTTACTTTCACTTGAAACTTATAACTCTGTTATATTAACTGTCAAAACATTATATATCCGTAAATTCACTCCATTTTCACATTTCTGTAATCACGTTATCCGCCATTAACTTAGCATTCACACGTGGAGCGCGTGGTACACATGTGGTTGAACCGAACTTTTAAACGTCTCCTTACGGACTATTTACACACTTTAGAGTATGACATTTGCCATTTTCACAGCATTGACATATATCAAATGAATTTCCATTACAGTTTATACATTTCATACCTGGTGAGGGAAGATATTAAAGTCAATAAAGACACAGAACACGGAGCTGCTGCTCCACCTTCTGAGTCTTGAGCAGCGCGCCCCCCTCCCCCAGCAGTTGAACGAGTCCAAAGACAGAAGTAATCGATCGTCCATACCAATCTCGGCAGGAGATATAAATCGTTATCCTCAAAGATCATACTTAGTTGATACCCAACATAGATCACACATTAATGACATTTAATTTTTTTTTTCTTATGACAACAACGATATATTTAGGAAAAATAATTCTTGCATTTTTCTTTATTATTTGTAACCACTACATTAACAACATCAGCATTACGTGAATATGTGAATATAGTGTGTATTAGCGTGTAGATTTCCATTTCTGTACAGTCTAATCTCTAATTGTCATACCATTCGAATTTCATATTAAGAAATTCTTTTAACCCAAAAAGCAAATTAAGCTCTCTTCGAACTGGTTGTCTTTAAAATACAAATCTTGTGTAATCCCAGGTTATCTGTAATCAGAAGCACATTTAAAACTGGAATATAATTTAATTTCATTCACATGTGTTTCATAAACATATAAACCTTTGTGGATTACAATCCCGCCATCAAAATGATATATTTAATTATTCCAGCTGCTGCGAGAAAAGGCTAAACGATCGGCCACCTGCAGGATCCTCACATGAGATAGCCTAGTAGCCGGGACAACTTCTTTATGTTTACAGACATGACGTAATGACGCAGCGGCATTCTCGAATTTCCCGCGAAAACCTACCCGTACCACTCAAATTAGAAAACATTATTATAAGCTAACCGTTGTGAAACAGGCTAAAGTAAGGTGATAGTTTTGAACACTGGCTGGTTATGTACTTGTGTAACGGAGGCCAGCGAGTAGGTGCTGTGCAGGTAAACCTCACTCCCCTGATCTTAGGGGACTGACGCTAGTGCCTGCAGTCTTTAGCCTCCTTGTTAGTGCGTCCGACACCCATGCCGGAGACCTGGGTTAGAGACCCACTCGGAACAAGAACGAGGTGTGACGGTGAGGACCGGGGAGAGAGGGGTTACATTGGTGCCGTGACCCGGATAGGAGTGAGGATTAGGGGGTGAGTGTAACGGAGGCCAGCGAGTAGGTGCTGTGCAGGTAAACCTCACTCCCCTGATCTCAGGGGATTGACGCTAGTGCCTGCAATCTTTAGCCTCCTTGTTAGTGCGTCCGCCTCCAGTACTACAGCAATACTACAGCGAGAATAAAAGTTACGCCTTCTTTCTTTGCGTGAACATTTGGGCGGCGTTATGCAAATCTTCCCACAT